CTGCCTTGTGAATTAGATCGGGAACTTCCCTTTGGATTACAACACTGCCGGGCGCTGGAACGTTTTGACTTGGGTCTTTGCCTTTCACTGGCTCTGTTTCTTCAACATTAAGAACATCACTCTCCATTACAACTTTTTCGGGTACTGGAACTGTTTGCCTTGGTTCCCCGCGTTTCACTGGCTCTGTGTCTTCAACATATCGAACATCGCGCTCAACCACAACTATGTCGGGCACTGGAACTGTTTGCCTTGGGTCGCTGAGTTTCCCTGGCTCTGTGTCTTCAACATTGAGAACATCGCGCTCAACCACAACGCTGTCGGGCACTGGAACTGTTTGACTTCGGTCCCCGCGGTTCACTGGCTCTGTGTCTGCAACATTAAGAACATCGCGCTCAACTACAACGCTGTCGAGTACTGGAACTGTTTGCCTTCGATCTTTCACAAGCTCTCCCTCTTCATAATTCTTGGCAAAACACGCCTTAGGTAGACTTAAATTGAAGGCATCGGCGGTGAGAATTGCATTTAGAGCATTTTCCACTAGTAAATGTCCTCTGAATGCCCTTTGAACAGCTTTGCCGCTGAGCATGTGTCCCACCGTATTTGAAGCATACACACACTCTAAAAGTTCTTCAATACCAGAACCAGACATAATGCTGCCTATGCAACCAAGAAAACTCATTTCTGCGTGGAATCCTCCAAGACGAAGTATTATAGAGCGCAGTTCACTGTCTGGTGGTTCACTCTCTACGATAAGCTGCGCTTTCCACCACAAGGGTTGGTCGAATGTAATAATAGGCGTGGTATGTTGTCTTTTACATTGTGCTTCTACAAATTTAAGCGTTGAATATATACAGCTCATGTTTGTTGGATCCATGTCAATCATTGGTAAGAATGTAACAGAAGATTTTCCGGGATGGCTTCCTTTGCTTATAGTCTGCATTAATCCAGACCAATTTGGCTTGGGGGATCGAATTGGCCAAACTAAACTGCAGAGAAAGTCTAACTTCCAAGTTTTATTGACGTTAGAAAGACATGGCAGTTTCTCATAAACCAAAGGCACTTTGACATCATTAGCCGTCTTGTAATAGTGAATATCAATCTTTCCAATATTTGCTATCTCTGCAGCTGTGGTGGAACACCTCGGTATTGGAGAATCTGGATGCGTGGCCGGAGTAACAGCAGCTATTATCCCCATACCATGAAAAGTGTTCTGTCCGTCCAACGTACAGACATTGTGGTCTACATTATCTGCTACATATTGTACAAAGTGACCAGGGGTTAAACCAGGAATATCTGTGCCTTTTGTTTGCGCCGCACTCATTTCAAATTTCTTAACTTCAGTGTAAGAGGAGCAAAACCCATGACTATTCAAGGAATCAATTAAAAATTTGGATCCATAATGGTGGTGCATTTGGACTGCCAGGCCGATTTGAAGAGGAGCTATCAGGACCCTGGGCCGAGCGGCTTGAATAATGGCTTGCCCTATGGAAGCAATCTTTCGCTCTGCACTCTTTTCGTTAAATATTGTTCTCAGAAACAAATACAACGTTTCAGGTAGAAAAGCGCAGTTTTCATCCAAAGACGAAATCTCTCCAGGTAATGGATAAAAACTTTTAGAGATGTCCTTACTTTTGATGTCCGTTTTTATGAGATCAGCAGCTGCCTTAATCACTCTGATTTTATCGGCTTCAGGGTCAGCATCTCTAGAAGCGTCATAAAAATTTTGCAAGATGGTCGAAGCTGTACTCCTAAATGTTACGACATCAGCCTTACCATTGATACTAGCAATAACGATGTTTTCTCCAAAATGCTCTTTAAGTTTTTCTTTCATATACCGTGCGCTGTAAGGTTCTTGGTCGTTGAATTCTGCCATCTTATTCATAAGATCGTTCACAGTTAACTGCTCGTCATCGTTTTCCTTAAGATATTTTGCAACCTCCAAGAATGCCTCTTGCCTAGACTTATCAGTTGGCCTGCCTTTCTTTTGTCGTTTGCTTCCGTTAGTTTGATGAGAAAGCGGTACTTGCTTCCCCGTCCGAAAATTGGTACTGCAAACTTGGTGATAAATTGCACCTGCTGCAATGAGATCTTGGGAAAAAGATATTCTGCCATGCACTTTCTCAGCCCAACCGTCTCTTCGCTCCTCACAAATTCGGTTTAATGTGGTTTGAAAATCTAATGTTCTAACAGGAAAAACATCATGTCCTCTTTTGTTTCCCGTAAGTTTAGCAGGCTGGCTGCAAAATAAACATCGTTCACCAAAATCAAATGTTGGTTCACTGGAACGCAGGGTACGACTTGCACTAGAGGATGTTTCTTCATCAGCCGTATGTTTCTTTATGTAGGAACGAATAACCTTTACATGACAGTATTTCTGCCTGCATTTTTGATGTACACGCTGTCCTGCAAAAGTTTGGAGTGTGTCGCCACGTAGTTTACTTGCATTGTTGATGCCATCGCTTCCTTTTTGCCTAAGTTCCACTGTTTCGAGGCCATTGGTTGATAATTCCTTGCAAATTACACAATACTCCATCGTGTGATGTTAACCGGACGATAAACCACATCTTTAACCATCTATACTTTACCTTCACACGACATTTTTCACTAAAGTACCACTCTGGACGTCCAACAATGCGTTTCTACCAATACTCGTCTAAATAAATGTCTTGTGAAGCGAAGAACTTTGTTAGTTTGAAGGCCAGAGAATCGTCCAGAGCAGTTGTACGGAGCAAGAATTTTCCAAACCAAACAATCGAGAGTCTTTAGAGTCACTGATACACATATATACTTATTGATAGAGAACTAATTCAAGGAAAACTGTTGTTTTCCAGTTCTCGAAATAAAATTTCTTCGATGTGATCAAAAAGTTGTTCAAATCTTTACATTTAAACACGTGCACGCATTTTGTTTTCCAATTACGCCTATTGTTTTTAGCTGTTTGCTGTAAAAATTTACGCATATATTTTGAATAAATTGCGCGGCAGCCATTTTGAATTTAGAAAAAGAATTCAATCATAAAACTGCAATTTCATCATTTTATCCTTCGAAACGTTTGGTAGACTTTTGACATGTTATTTATAGGCATCAGTAGAATAACTTCCGGCAAAAATAAATTCTGTTGCAATTACTTCAAGGTTCGGTCTTTTTTTCTCGTAGAATGACTAGACTATTAATGGCAAAGGTGGTAAATGCCGCATTTGCCTCAAACTTGCGGCGTGTGTAAAAACAAGGATAACCGTTACTTTATCAAGGCATTTACAGGGGTGTCAAACTTGATAGCAAAACTGACATTTGTCAGGTTTTTGCCCGAATGGGCAAATGCGATCGAAGACGAATTTTTGAACGCTTTTTTTCTCTATAGCAAATTCGGTCAAAGTAGTAATTTCCCACATTTTTGCTCAATGTAGTAAAAGTGACCACAACTCATTTTTCAACAGTTTTGCCCAGGATAGTAAATCTGAGCAAATATTCATCTTATTTGTGTTTCTCCCAGTGTAGTAAATGAGGTCAAATTATCACTTCTTCCGTACCTTTGCTCAGTGGGGCAAATATGATCAAAATAGTCGTTTACCACTGTTTTGCTCAGGGTAGCAAATTTGGCCAAATACCACTTTATTCTCAGTTTTGCTCAGGATTACAGATATGATCAAACCAGTAGTTTCCCATAATTTTCCCCATTGTAGCAAAGTTGATCAAGTATCACTTCTTCTGTATCTTTGCTCAGGATGGCAAATATTGACATAATAGCAGTTTTCCATACTTTAAGTCAGGTAAACAAAGTTGATTAAAATATCACTTTTTTAAACTTTCGCTCAAGATAGCAAATTTGATCAAATCATCATTATCCACCATAAATGACTGACAAACAATTTAGACACCAACCAAAATTTCAAGAATAAAATGACTTTATTATCTTTAATATACACTGTACAATAAAAAGTAAGCTAAATTAAAAGGAAGTTCCATTGGCCTCTGCAGGGCACTGCATGTATCACAAAATGTCTGCCTTTAAATAAAAAGCACGTACATTGCGAAACTAACTAAATTCATACGTGTATAAGAATATACATTGGGTTTGAAAGTACAAGTCAACACTAGCTGGTTCATAATTATCTAAGGCTGGCATAGGTTAAACCTAACCTCCATTTGAGTGGTATACTTCAAATATACTCTTTCTAGATTCAATTGATACTATTGGCAAATGGTCGTAAGATAACAACACGTACGCATCACTCCCAATGCATATGTAGGTGTGACATCTTTACTAATGGACAGAACATCAACCACAGGAAATAAAATTAGCTCCAAATTATTATGATAAGCGATATTCCTCAAATAATTATTTATAAGAACTTGTTTTCATCTGATAAATATTATCCACTATACCCAAAATAGGCAGTGAATATATATTTGCACCTCGCCATAATTTATATAGTGTATCTAGTGCTATTCACTGACCCCAAGGGGAGATATGATTCAGTCTTCACCAAATCAGTTATATAAAAATATTTTTTGTTAATAAAATGTGTTGCTATGCGAAAGCTCTGTGCATTTGTGCATTTCTATGATTTCGGACTATTAGTAGCACCGCGGTTGCTAGTGATTCGTGCATTAGAATCGAATTAGAACCTCACTCATGGTTGGAGGGCCGCTGGTTTCGATCCCAAGCATTTTTAAAATTGTTAGTGTGAGAAGCTCTTCCCTCAGCAGGCCACTGTCGTATCGATCGGCTGCCGTGTTTTCTGCTACTAGGCATCCACCCTTTGAAAGCTCGATTCCACTGTCTCTGTTGTAGGATGGACTCTTATGTATGTCTCTGTCATGTTCCTTAATTCGTTCTTCTTCATGCGTGCATCTTCCTATTTCACTAGTGTATACTTCAACGCATTTGCGAGCAATCTGATATGGTACCCTATCTTGTTTTCGTGAGTACCTATCTCGACACCACCGTTATATAACATATACCATTTAAACGTTCTATTTATCCTGTCTTTTAATTAGATTTCAACGAATGCGAAAAGAAGACACATTATTGTCACCCATTTGCCCAATGTGTCAATGAACGTGGATCCTATTCATGCAAGTGCAAGCCTGGATTAGTTGGAAATGAATTTCAATGTCAGACCCCGAGATCCTGCTCTGAAATCAGGAAAAGCGTCAGCAACGTAAGCAGAAACTATGTGATTGATCCAGATGGCGAGGGAGGTCTGCCACCATTCACAGTTAACTGTGACATGACTGACAAGAATGGTGTTGGCGTGACAGTCATCAGTCACGACAGTGAGAGTAGAACTCATGTGAATGGTTATGAAGCTCCAGGTAGCTACTCACGTGACATTCATTACACAGGAGCGAGTCTTTCACAGTTGGCGAAACTCACCAGTGTCTCTTCACACTGTGAGCAATTCATTAAATATGAGTGTTACAATTCTTATTTGCTTCGCACTGGCCATGCCTGGTGGGTGTCACGTGATTCTACTAAGATGACATACTGGGGCGGAGCATCACCTGGCAGTGGTAAGTGCGCATGCGGGATGACCAAATCATGTACAAACCCCAGTTATGTTTGTAACTGTGACGCCGTAAAATTAGCCTGGTATGAAGACGGCGGTCTCCTGACTGACAAGACAAAGCTCCCAGTTAAACAGCTCAGGTTTGGTGATACTGGTGGTGATAAGGAGGAAGGTTACCATACGCTGGGGAAATTGAAATGCTATGGAGTAGCGTAAAGATCTATTTACTGTTTACTAAGAGGTGGTTTTTAGTTTACCTGTAGTTAAAGTATTTAGGATTTTGAATCAGTGTATGAGGGTCATGAATGTAGTACATGTTTCTAAACCACCGTTGAGAAAGATTAAAAACAGGTATCTGTATGTCGTTTCTTTCTACTTAGACTCTAAACAAGGAGTGATGTGACAAAATCTGGCTAACACCTAACAGTATTATTTAAGAAAGCACTTTCTTGAGTCTTATTTTACTAGGGAACAAAGTTTCACAATGATGTAGTCCCATGAAATTTTGCTGAAGGCACTAGCTTAATACATATATCTCCTTGGATGGTTTAGTGTGTAGTATCTTGATATATTTTTACGCACTTTGGTGAGCCCGTTGGACGAGTCGAAATACAAGAGACGAGTAAAAATATCCCACGATACTACACACTAAACCTTCATTCAGTTATTCATTCAAAATATCTCCCCGATTCTGATTGGCTAAAAGCACAACCATAATTCACGATAACCAGCTACTGATGACCAAATTTGGAAGAATTCTGCATTTAATGAACCGATGTCAAAAGTACTGCCTTCTTGCAGGTTAATGCACCATTAACCGAGAAGACCTGGGAACGGGGTTGAGTTGTTTGGTTGTGAAAACAAAAATGGCAGACATTTCACTCTTTTCAAGAGTAAGAACTAGGCGTAATAATAGCTAAAAACATGGCAAGAACAGGAAGAAGACAACTGGAAGGGCAACATCTGCTATTTGAAGAATATTTGCGGAGCTGAACAACCCTAAAAGTGCACTATCGAAGATGAACTTAACATCGATGGAGGCAGGTATGTTTTAGCTATGTTTTTAAACTAGGAACTATTTTGAATGAATAATAAAACAATCATTGAATTCGGCTTTTGTATCATATAAAGAATTATGGAGATCGGTGTTACACCCTCCTCAATCTCCATAATTCTTCATAAGATACCCAGCCTCATTCATTACATGTTAAGCAATAGATTTATTAGCGGAGCTCTCGCGCGCTACGCGGAGCACCATGGGTAAGAAAATGTGGTAAACTACCCATCCGAGAAAATTTGGTAATCACGTGCTTACACCGACCGACCGACCGACCGTCCGAGAGTTCGTCCGCACCACAGGCATACCAATGTAAAATAATTCAATCAACAGGTATGGCAACCCAAATGCAACTCAAGGTTTTATTTGGAAAGAAATTGCATGGCCTCCCGGACTTTCAGAAAGAAAAAACAACAACAAAGTCGTGTCTTTTTCGACGTTATTTTTCATGTCTACAGTCACGTGGATAACAGAGAAAGAGCTAGAGGGAGTGATTGAAAACAAAAGAGACGAATTTTGTAGGAAGAAAAACATGAAAATTCAAAGCGGCGGCGAGACAATGAGAAATGCTAGCGGCCAGCAAGGTGAAAATGAGGGGCAGTGAAAAATAAAAGCGAACATGAACACAGGAAACAATATATTGGGTAAGCACATACAACAATTCGGTCAAAATAATGTGTAACTAGGAAGTTTGACGTTTGCAAAACAACGGCAAAGAAAGACAAAAAGCGTGCTGCACGTGCAAATTTGTTTTTTTGCTAATTAGAAAAAAAGGTGTGCTGCACGTGCAATTTGTTTTTTCTTTGCTCATTAGATCTATTGATCTTGAAGCCATTTTCATTGCCGTCCCCGTTTTGCATTACACGGTTTAATTTTTTTTGTTCATAAGTAATATATAGATTTAGCCAGGGCTAAAAGCGAAGCTCTCGATAACATTATAGTTTGTTCAAGCAAAATATGAAATCGTGTAATGCTAAGCGGCGAAGGCAACGCCGGAGAACGGTGAAAAAAACAACAATAGGTCTAATTAGCAAAAAAGCAACTTTGCACGTGCAGCACACTTTTTTGTACATTTCTTTGCCGTTGTTTTGCACGACTACGACTCTCTGTCTTTCTGTTGCTCTATATTCCAAATTTGTGGACATGATAATTAATCTAAGCTTAATACTTAAGAAAACACGGATACAGAAACAATTTCCGCTTTCCGGTTTCGTCTTTATTGACTCTTTAGCTGCCTCTGCTTTACGAGAAGAAGGTGGTTATGCGATTTCCCGCCAAAATAACCTCGAGTTGCATTTGGGTTGCCATACCTGTTGATTGAGTTATTTTACATTGGTATGCCTGTGGTGCGGACGGACGGTCGGGCTTACGGTCACGTGATTACCAAATTTTCTCGGATGGGTAGATTACCACAGTTTCTTACCCATGGTGCTTCGCGCGCGAGAGCTCCGCTATTATTAACCAGAGCTTCGCCTTTAGCCCTCGCTAAATCTATATATTATTATTACTAGTAAATAACGCCTACCTACTTATTACGAGAATGAGTGACAGACTAACTTGTCAACTCCTCTGCAAATCCAGTTTTCGCGCCCTTTATGCAATGTTGTTGCTGATCGGTTAGAAATGAAAAACTGTCAAACTGGTTTACTCAACAAATCATTTTTTTTCGGGGTTTCGTCAGCGCTTTGAGGTAGTAGGGACCTTAAGCATCGACAACGAAACGGACGACGACGACGCTTCGCAACCGAGGCAGACTGGGCCAAGGGTTTCGTTTTCGGTGGGGAAAACGAAGTTTAAGCAGTGCTGCTTCCTAGACGGACGACGACGTTTTCTTTGCGAAGAACTTTGTCTTGTTAGGGCATTCAAAGACGTCCGTAATTTGCATTTTATGAGGTATGAAGATGGTTTAATCGACGATGGCGAATTCATTGTTCTTTAGGACCTGGATTATTTGATTGTGGAGGCTTTCTCTTCGTCGCGCAGCTTTTGTTTTTGTTTTGAAATGAAGTTAAACCTGTATACCGATCTCGAACAGCTCTTGACTTGCAGTTAAGCTAAATTTCGGCTGCTGAAGAGAATTCAATGCTGCTACAATGTTCTCCCATATTTGTCCTCGCTCAGGGCTCCTCATAACCACATCATGTTCCAGCTGAGTCCACTGGAAAATAGTTGCCTCTAATAGCGGCTAAAAACAACATGGGAAATTATTAAATCTTAGTACGAAAAAATGAACATTTATCCTATAGTACAACCTAGAATGCATGAGTAAACATAGGACCGTAAGGGAACGAACAGCAGCTAATCTAAAAGGTTCGGAAGAAAGCAGAGGAAAGCTTACTTGTCTGTCCGACTTGTTGTTCCGCCATCACGCAGGTTTTCAAACAAACCGAACCTGAAAAATAAATCGGGTTAGCAGGCGAAGAAACCGACAAAGTGTTTAACATTTGGATTCTGCTAATCCAAAAAGAATATATTTCTACTTGTACTGAATGACAAGGGGGGAAAGAGTGATTTACACGCAAAAAGTATAGTTTTATACTTACGTTTTAGCGACGACGGCAAACCTCCCTGAATTACGTCGTCGACGAAGGCTGGACGACGTTTTGACAACCTTACGCATGCCCAGAAGGTTCGCGCCGGAAAATTTCACTTCCGGTCGGCGTCGTCGTCCCATTTCGTCGTCGATGCTTAAGGTCCCTAATGTTAGACACATCACCTACGAAAATGTGAACATTACGCTTTTGACCGTCGCCCTGAAAATCATAGCATTATGCCGGAAGTTATGCTGGTGTCAGAGCATCTATATGCTCGATTGATACTGGGAAAATTTTAGCCTTTTTCCTCTCCTGCCCAAAAACATTACCTCCATAAATTAACAACACAACGTTTTAATGTTTCTAGTACAATAAAAGTAACAATAACAGGTTCTAACTAGCAGTCATGGTTGGATTGATAACCGTCAGGCATGAGGAACCTGGCTTTATGAACAAACCAGGCCTTTAAACCAGGAACCAAACCTTGAAACGGGGTGACTCTATACGGAGGAATGGGGGAATGATAGAACGGAATGGCGGAACGGCGGAATTAGGGGATACACGGAATATTTTAAACTACGGAATATATGGAATATTCAAAAGTAGGTTGTGTTTGACTTATTGACGAGATCAAGCAAAACTAATTACGAGAGAACGACTGGAGAACTGACAATTTGACTAACAATAGACGGCTATTCAACTGTGACGATAGATGGATCGAAACGCACCAATTACTGATTACGAGTCTTCATAGCCAATAACATCAAGGCTTAACTGACAGACGACCAATAACATCGCGACGTAATTGACCAATCATATCAACAACGTACCAGAGTATAATACCATCGACTGACGTAATATAACTCACTTTGACTCTGAAGATGCATATGACTACCGCACAGGTTGTCGAAACGTCAGTCACTATCAACAACAACAGTCCTATTCAGGACTACGTTCAACCGGACAATCAAACACAACCTACTTTTGAAATGACTCCTGGGTTCAAACCTTTCACAGCTTTATATGGAATATTCTAAAACACGGAAAATATGAAATATTCGAAAACACGGAATATACGGAACATTCCAAAACATGGAATATATGGAATCTTCTAAAATGCGGCATGAAAGAAAAGTCTTTAAAAAAAGGATAGTCTAGTCTGGATATACAGGACAACAAAACTAAGATATAACAATGTGTTACAGAGAAGAGATCATCCAAAGTGATTCACTATGTTCAGTATCACCATTCTCAAAGTCGCATTACAATGCCTTTGATCGTAACCTTTAGCGACGATATTAAACACAACTTTTACTACCGATCATAACAACATCTGCTAGGGAAATCGTGTATGAACGAATTAGGTTTTGTAACAAAGTTAGGCACAATCCGAGAGGGGCAAAAGCGGAAGCAGGAAAACATATCGCCCAGGGGTGAATCACTTTGGATGATCTCTTCTCTGTAACACATTGTTATATCTTTTGTTGTGAATAAATGTAAAATTATCATCCGAAGTTTTGTTATCCTACCTAGACTAGACTATCCTGGCTTTTTTTTCTCATTCCTCGTTTTAGAAGATTCCGTATATTCCGCGTTTTTGAATGTTCCACATATTCCGTGTTTCC